CACTGAAAGAGACAAGATTTTTAGAGGATTTGACAGGGTAATTGTGAAAAAGGTGTTTTGTCTATGAAAGAGTCTCGAAGTTAAGGGCATAATTTCAGAATAAAGGATCATACGGTTAAGACAAGGATTAGGAGGAATTCCTTCTGTCAAAGGGTTGTGAATCTGTGAAATTCTTTATTGCAGTGGGCTGTTGCGGCAGGATCATTAAGTATATTCAAGGCTAAGATAGATTTTTATTCAGTAAGAATAAAGGTTATGAGGAAAAGACAGGAAAATGAGTTGAAGATGATCAGATTAACCACAATCTCATTGATCGGTGGAACAGATGAGATGGGAGAAGAGCCTACTTCTATTTCTTTATACTGAGGTCTTAATTAATCTTATCATGTTGCCAGATCTAGAATAGCTTGCTTTCTGGTTCACTCGAGAACATGCTGATCATAGATCATGCAATCCCTACAGTGTGGGAACAGGCCCTTCGGCCCAACAAGTCCACACCAATCCTCACAGCATCTCACCCAGACCCATCCCCCTATAACCCACCTAATGTGCACATCCCTGAACACTACAGGCAATTTAGTATGGCCAATCCACCTAGCATGCACATCTTTGGACTGTGGGAGGAAACTGGAGCACCCAGAGGAGTCCATGCAGACACAGGGAGAATGTGCAAACTCCACACAGACAGTCACCCAAGGGTGGAATTGAACCTGGTTCCCTGGCGCTGTGAGGCAGCAGTGCTAACCACTGAGCCACCTGATCTAATAAACTGTGTCTAAAACACTTAATGATTACATGTTCCTAGATTAAACACTAATAAATGTAAAATACAACCCCCACAGGACATTTCCGTGCTTTCCACCACTTTTTACGGAGTGGGCAGAAATGTGAGTGAGTGTTGTGTCTTTGATAGGCAGAGTACTTCAATAATCTTTTTTAACTCGGCTTCCACTGTGCATCCAAAAGCTGAATTTGCATTTACCTGCTGCAAATGAGCTTCTCCCAGCCCATCTGGGAAGCCTTTGAGATCACTTCTGCTAAAGATGATATTTTTATCTATTCCCTCCGATGATTGCGAGTACTCTCCTGTAGCTAAACGGTTTTCCAGTTGCAATCTCCTACCTCTGGTTTTCCCATCTAGGAGCTAATGTTTGGTTGTCTACTTGGTGACAACTGAATAAACTAATGATATTGAGGGTCCTGATGTATAAATTTGGCAAAAACAGGGTATTGGCTTCCAGTAGCAATTCCCTCCTCATCAATCTAAGACCATAAGAAGTAAGAATAGTAGGCCCTTCAGCTCATCAAGCCTACTCCATCAATAGGATTATGGCTGATCCCAAATTCCTCATATCTACTTACCTGCCTTTTCCCTGTAACTCTTGATTCCCCTACTAATCAAGAATCTATCTCCGCCATAAACACAAGGACTCTCCCCCACAGCTCATGTGGCAAGGAGTTCCAAAAAACTCTCATACCCTCTGAGAGAAAAATTCCTCCTTATATCAGTCTTACAATGAAGCCCCTTTATTCTGAGACTATGCCCCCTGGTTCTAGACTCTCCTATGAGGGGAATCATCCTCTCAGCACTTACACTGTCAAGACCCTTAAGAATCCCATATGTTCCAATGAGATCATAAGAACATAAGAACTAGGAGCAGGAGTAGGTCATCTAGCCCCTCGAGCCTGCCCCGCCATTTACTAAGATCATGGCTGATCTTTTTGAGACTCAGCTCCACTTACCCGCCCACTCACCATAACCCTTAATTCCTTTACTGTTCAAAAATTTATCTAGCCTTGCCTTAAAAGCATTCAGCGAGGTAGCTTCAACCGCTTCACTGGGCAGGGAATTCCACAGATTCACAACCCTTTGGGTGAAGAAGTTCCTCCTGACCTCAGTCCTACATCTGCTTCCCTTTATTTTGAGGCAATGCCCTCTAGTCCTAGTTTCACCTGCTAGCGGAAACAACCTCCCTGCCTCCACCTTATCTATTCCCTTCGTAATCTTATATGTTTCCATAAGATCTTCCCTCATTCTTCTGAATTCCAATGAGTATAATCCCAGTCTACTCAGTCTCTCCTCATAATCCAACCCTCTCAACTCTGGGACAACAAGGTGCAGTGCTGGATGAACACAGCAGGCCAAGCAGCATCATAGGAGCAGAAAGGCTGACGTTTCAGGCCTAGACCCTTC